CGAAAGTGGCGGGTTCCTCGGGTCATTCGAAGCAACTTTTTCCTTTACAAAAATTTTCTCCGAGGCACCGTTAACGAGTTATTAACGAGAAACAGTGACCAATGAGAGGCGAGCTCGGCTGGCGCGAGGCGACCGAGCCAATGAGCGGAACCGGGCTTCGCGCGCTGGTTGGCTGGGCCGCCTCGCGTCAGCCGTACTCGATTGTTATTTGTCGCTGTTTTTCGTTGATAACTCGTTAACGGTGCCTCGGAGAAAATTTTTGTAAAGGAAGAAGCTGCTTCAAATGATCCGAGGAACCCGCCATTTCCGGATTGCGAGACATTTTTGGGGCACTCTGTATATTATTATTTTGCTCCGAATTTTGAAGATTGAGACAATATTAGGGTTATTAGATATTCGATATCTAATAACTCTGTAAATAATAATCAATCTTATTGTACCTCGAGTAATTCGAGCGTATTTATGTTTGCGTTCGACGCGAGTGCCTAAACTAGCGAAATCTGTCCGATACGTTGAATAAGGCTCTTGAAACGTGGGGGCATAAAGCTATAGGGTGACTGGGGGCAGTTACAAAATATTGAAGTTATTTCTTCCACCTCTCTCCGAGGATATTTCAGCGTGTACAGTCGGTGTAAGAAACGGTGTCCGCAGACCGGAATAATTTTTTTAGAATCGGACCGAGCGATTTACATTCTTCGAGGATGTCGGTGGGATTAGTTTACTAGATAGTGGCTAAAAAAAACCGACCTCGATGAAATTTTCAGCACGCGCATAAGTCACCTGGACCTACAAGAGCGTTTCCTAAATTTTCTGACTCGACAGAGAAAACATAATTTTTCAATTTCTTTTTCCATTCGCATTCCGATCAATCGCAATTTTTTGAAACAATTTGTCAACTATATTCGGATCGCTTGGCCCAATTATGAAAAAAGAAAAGTTATACCGTTTCGAAGGACGCGCGAATAATATTTACACCGATCGTATGTATCAGCGCGATTATTATTATTATTGTTATTATTATTATTATTATTATTATTATTATTATTATTATTATTCAAAAATCAATTTTCGTTTAATAGAACTAGCATTGTCCCGCAAAATATCATAAATGAGAGCTTAACAACAGCCCGGTTTCGACGTTTAGTCTTTTCATGGTTGACGGTACGGAATTTCACTGACGGAAGTTAATGGAAAATAATGAAAGGCCGTTTGAAATTTTCCGGCGACAACATTCTGCGCGACCGTGTGTCGGAAATATTATCGAAAGAACGAGGGTCGGGGTGGGGGGAGAGTTTGGAGGGGCCGCGGGAGGGGGAAAGGGCCGCGGCCCTTCGACGGTGTCGCGATCACGCTGGTAAAATTCATCTCGTAAATAATTCTCGCCGATCTACGCGATAAATCAATGTCCGCGGTTTATTTTCCGCGAGAGGTATTTAGAAATTTACGACGAAGCCGCTCCTCTCGGCGCGGCATTGTCGTCCGAGAGAAAATTACAAGGCGGAAGGAGAGAACACAGGGGGGGTCGACCGAGCGAAAATTGCACCACGCTCGAACAAGTCCGTATGGTTTTTCGTTTGTGCTACGGCCGCCGCGTGTCGTCCGGTTCAGCTCGGTCCGTTCCGTTTCGTTCCTTGTTACGCGCGGATAAACGCGATCGACATTTATTGTCGGCGTCGTTCTGGCCTGCATAGACGCTGTTAGATTCCGCAGGGCTCCGCTTTCTGCCGATAAGAAGATATATATATACAGGGTGTCCCAGAAATGTCTCGCAATCCGGAAATGGCGGGTTCCTCGTATCATTTGAAGCAGCTTCTTCCTTTGCAAAAATTTTTTCCGAGGCACCGTTAACGAGTTATCAACGAAAAACAGCGACCAATAAGAATCGAGTACGGCTGACGCGAGGTGGCCCAGCCAACCAGCGCGCGAAGCCCGGTTCCGCTCGTTGGCTCGGTCGCCTCGCGCCAGCCGAGCTCGCCTCTCATTGGTCACAGTTTTTCGTTAATAACTCGTTAACGGTGCGTCGGAGAAAATTTTTGTAAAGGAAAAAGTTGCTTCGAATGACCCGAGGAACCCGCCACTTTCGGATTGCGAGACATTTTCGGAACACCCTGTACGTATGTATTGGAGAACGGCCGAAAGTCGTCTCCACGTTTTTCCTTGCCGGGCGCTGCGAGGAAACTTAATACGAGGGCGAACGTCATAATGTAAATAAAGTGCACCGCCGCGCCGCGCTGTAACACTGAACATCGCAAACCGGTCCCAGTGCTGAATGGAAGTCGCGAGAGGAAGGATATTAATTAATCTTTCTTTCCCCGCCGAGCTAATAATCTGCGAGAGAAAATTTCAGGAGTTAAGCCCTGAAAAAAAGCTAATTAGATCATGCGACTCTACGTATGCAGTATTCAATACGTCCAGCATCCGCTTCTCCCGTTCTACGATACGTATGTTATACCCACCGAGCCACTGGAAGTTAACCGGTACGTTCTAAAAACGACAAGTCCAAATTAGGCTTCCCGCGATTTCTATGATGTTCCATACCAGAATTAAAAAATTCTTCCGATCATTTCCTACGAGATAGTCTTTAAAGCTGTAGCTCTTATAATCGACTAACAAACGTTATTCAATACCGATAATTACCTACGACGGTTAAGAGATGCTTCGACGATATTACATCCATTCTCGCTTTTCCCTTCGGTTCAACGAATCGTGCTTCACAAATCGGGGAGCAGTGACACGGTCTCGTAGCTTCTAGAAACAGAAAACGAGCGAACTGTTTTCGATTCGATTTGTACGGTCGATGAGGATCCGCTCTTCGACACATTTTGTGCTATTGTGTGAGTACGAACGAGAAAAAGCTGTGCCCGGAAATGTCCATCAACGGAAAGAAAGAAATTAGTGGAAGATATACAGGGTGTCCCGAAAATGTCTCGCAATCGGATAGTGGCGGGTTCCTCGGGTCATTTGGAGCAACCTTTTCCTTTACAAAAATGTTCTCCGAGGCACCGTTAACGAGTTATTAACGAAAAACAGTGCGCCAATCAGAGGCGAGATCATTTGGCGCGAGACGGCGGAGCCAATGAGCGGAACTGGGCTCCGTGCGCTCGTTGGCTGGGCCGCCGCGCGCCAGCCGAGCTCGCCTCTTATTGGTCAGTGCTTTTTCGTTAATAACTCGTAAACGAAGCCACGGAGAAAATTCTCGCAAAGGAAAAAGTTGCTTCAAATGATCCGAGGAATCCCTGTATATCCATGTTCATAGTTCTAATCTATAATGTTATTACAAAAACAAGCACATAAAATTTCGTTGCAGGAAAGTCGATCGGCTCTTAATTTAAAAATAATTCAACGATGAATATCGCAAACAAATTATTAACCTAATAAAGAATTAAAGCAACTTCGATTCTTCTTTTAATGTAATTCTTTTAATTCTTTTAATTCTTTCTTTTGTGATCCTTTTTGCATCGATCGGTCCATCCGTGTTTTCTTTTTAAAAACCGTTAAGATACTTCAGCTGAAAATTCATTGGTTCGAAAATTATGGTTTTCGTCCCGAGGGCCCATAAGGACCGTACATTGCGCACTCCTGAAACTTACCAGCACGTCTTGTTTTACGGACTGTACGCATAGGAAGTGACCGCTCGGATCTTCGTACGGCCCTGGTTTTCGACAAACTTGCCGGGCACTGTCGCCGACCGATAATTCAGGCCGCCGCGCCGCGCCGCAAACTCGGCTGTGTCTGTTCGCGACGCGGCGCAAAGTTGGCGAAACGACGGCGAACCGGGATCGCATAGTTGTCCGAGTAAATACAACGGAGAGAGAGAAAAAAAAAAGACATTATTCCGCGAGGAGAACGATCCGCGGACGTGAGAGATCGTACGCGACATAACCTCCCGGCCGACGGTCCCCGCTCGCCAGCGAACGTTACGAGGACCGTCTGCGACGTGATTTCGACGTAGCCCCGGCTTGATTGAACATTCGTTAAGCTGTCGCCGCCTTCAGTTAGCACGCAAGTGCAATTTTCAAGCAGAAAGTAATCCCGCCCGACGACGACAACGACGACGGAATTAATAACGGTAATCGAGATGACACTAACGCATGTACATATCCGGATTCATTTCGGTGGATGGGGAAATTAAGATTTTCGAGCGCCGATAATGTAGAAACGATAATAACTCCCGATTTTATGGGTCGGTCACGTTCAACCGATTTATCGATACGGTGTGCGAACCGAGATGGCGCGGCGCGGTGCGGCGGCGGCGCTGCTCGGCTCGGTTCGGTTCGGTTCGGTTCGGTTCAGCTCGGCTCGGCGCGACGCGACGCGACGTCGATTCCCGACCAGTCTCCGTTAAATTACGTGTCGTGGGAACCGAATGGAAAGAACGAATAAAAGAAACGCAGATAGCAAGCCCGGTAAAACAAAAGCCGTCGACGAAGAATAATCGCGTCGCGTATCTAGGGAGCCGTTATTTACCGACGCCCGGCGATAAGTAATTGTGAATGCGCCAAAAGTGATCGACCGTCCGTCCAGTGTCCGTTTTAAATCGAACCTACGGCCACACGTTCCTAACCCGACGATCGCTCGACCGCAATCGGGATGCACGTTCATCGGCCGACATAAGCTCGGCGACCTTTTCACGGGATTTGCTGATATAACCATTATATGTAGACGAGATCGGTTGTGCCGTAAACTTGGAACAGTCGAGCGAAACCTTAAAAACTTGGAGAGGGACGCGCGGAACGTCGAAATTTCGAAGACTGAGCGTAGAAATTCTATCAGATAGGTTATGTGTATTTACCGAGCACAAAGTACCGGTAAAACGAGTATGTACTTCGATCATGTTTTCCGGAGATTTAATACCGCAATGAACGTGTTACGTATTTCACATAATTTTTATAGAGAAATTCAGGTTCGAAATCTCTAGCTGTTCGTTTATTATTACGCTTGCAGATTTTATACGTTTAATAATAGGAATAATAATAGGAAGATTAAAAACATTTGTTATGATGCCGATTGTACTACTTTCGACGTATTAAAATTATTATGCAATGTCTAAGTTACTCCTATAGTTTATGGCTTCCAGATTGTCAACGAATTACTTTAGTCCAAAATTTCATTTCTCCGAAAATATCTTAAATACGAATTGTCAAATGTTCGTATTAAAAACAACGTATCTTGAAACGGCTTAAAAAATTTCATTGAAAACGAAAGTAAGTTTTAAACTGTTATACTACAGGGTGTCCTATAATTATGTTTATATCTGGAAAGAGTTGATTCCTGAGGTCATTTGAAGTAACTTTTTCCTTAGCGAAAATGCAATCCTCGGCTTCGTTTACGAGTTATTAACGGAAAACACTGGCCAATGAGATGCGAACTCGGCCGGCGCGAGGCGGCCGAGCGGACCAAGTCCAGCTCCGCTGATTGGCTCGGTCGTCGCGCGACATCTGATCTCGTCTCTCATTGGTCACCGTTTTTCGTTAATAACTCGTAAACAAAGCCGCGGATTGCGTTTTCGCTAAGGAAAAAGTTACTTCAAATGACCTCGGGAATCGCCCCTTTCTGGGTGCTTACGTTTAACAATTTATCTTAATTTGTTAAAATACACTGATTAAGCAAATTACAAAATCGTGTAGAATAATCATATAAAACGAGATTTCGGTCATAAATAAGAAGTAATTTTTAAAAAATGTCAAACTTCTTGAAACATATTGTTAAACAATAGATGTATAAAACTAGTAATAAAAGTTTAAAAAAATAAGAAGCGGTCACTTTTGCTCCTGTCTGTACAACCGAGTCCGAGGAGAACCGAAACAAATATCCTAGCACATAACTGTTTTCAACCCCTACAAAATGTTCTCCGAGCATCTGGCCAACTTCCGCTGAAATAACGCGTGTCCCGCTGCTAATGAACCCCCAAAGTCCTTCCAGAAAGGAAGAGATTTTCCGCTTCGTATTTTCGGCGCGTTCGATCGGTATCGAGCCAACACCGATAATTCCCCCCCTCCCCCTCCCCCCACCCGATCCGTGTTTGCCGGTCGGCGAAAGTGACATCGTTAACCTCGACGCGATGACAAATACCGAGGAGTAATTATCGCGCTCACGTCCCGGCCGCATCCTGGAGTTTAACGACTCCCGGGGTCCGCTCGATTTTCTTCTTTTACGCGTCGCGTCGCGCCGCGCCGCCGTGCGTACACGTAACGACTACAGTCCGCGGCGCGCGATGCGTCGAGGAAAAGGGAGGCCGAAGCCGAAGCTGAAGCCGAAGCCGAAGCCGAAGCCGAGCCGAGCCGAGCCGGGTGTCGCCCGGCGCGGCGTGTATTTCTCTCTCGAGTTTCGCGAAAGTTGCGCCGCAGAGACGGCGCTTAACGAGAACATAACCTTGTTACGCGATCGGATCGACGTTCGCCGCAACACGACGACACGATAATCTTGTGCCGTTATTGCGTAATTGCATTAACGCTTTTACGCGCATTGAATTTCGCGTGTGTGCGCGCGCGCGCGCGGCCCAATATGTCCGCGAGCACGATACGAACGGCGGCGGCGTTAGGAGGCGGGGAGGGAGAGGGAGCGAATAATCCTGGGGAATATCGACGATCGTCTCCGGCGAAGCCCGAAAGCGCGCGGCTGTCTGTCGAGTGGCCGGCGGAGAAAAGATTGAAAACTTTATACGCCGTATGGCCGTATCAACGCGCCAACAAAGTTTCGACGAGCTTCGCGTCTCTCGCGGAGATTTTCTGTTGCCACTTCGAAGCGCATTCATCGCTGCCGCGCACGGTTTTACAAGGACGACTTTAGCCCACTTATAGCTCGATGTATCTCCTCGAAATCGAACACAGGGACTCGTTCGGGTGTTTCATTTAATTCTTCAGCAACGATGTGGCAGGAATAACATCTTGATCTCTTACGTCCCCTTTGAGGTTAAGGACGTTACGCATTGCAATTTTCAACATTCAATTTTTTCTAAATCGCGTGAAACGGCCGCGCAATTTTTACTTGCCAATTGTTGCAAATTACGAAGATCTTTTCTCAACAAACTGCCGAATACATTTTTATATTCGAGGATTATAATTAAATTAGATTAATAATAATAATGATGATAATATATTAATAATAATCATGATAATAAATTAATAATAATCATGATAATAAATTAATAATAACAATGATAATAAATTATTAATAACAATAAATAATTAAATTAAATAAATCTTGTTATTATAGTAAAGCGATACACGCGTCGGTCGCCTTTAGACCCCGGTTTGGTATAATGTCAACGCAGAGGCAGCTTTCGCGCGGCATAAAAAAAGACCGCGATCCACGAGAAAACAACTTGAATGTCTCCTGAACCGAGAACATCGTGTTTCCGCTGTTATACGCACGGGCACCGAAACGATTTTCAAACTGTAACGAACAATCGCGCAAACGGGGTTTCCGTTGGCTGTCACTAAATCCTGTTGTCCCCCTCGCAACGACGTCTCGTTATCCGTTCACGAGTCCTTCTCACGCACTTTTATCCGCAATCTCCACCTCCGGCCACCGTTCAACTCCCCTCCTGCCGTCTCCCCCCCCCCCATTCCATCGCTTTTCTCTTAGGACTTCGTTCGCAATCTAACTACGATAATTTGTTTTGCCTCCGACGCCGTTGGAAAAATCGCGCGGAGGCTTGAGACACGGGCGCGCCGCAGTCCGGCCGGTGGACAATACGTTTCGAAAAGCACTTTATCATGCAATTACACCTATCTGCCGGAAGATCGACGAGTCGAGGTCTCCGCGTTCCGCGCGCCAACACCAGATAAAGCCTATCAGGTAATAATAAAGTAATTAATCCTCGTCCGCCACGCTCTTCCTCTCGCTCTCGCTTTATCACTCTATCGAGCTCTCTCTCTCTCTCTCTCTCGCTCTCTCTCGCTCTCTCTTGCTCTCTCTTGCTCTCTCGCTCTCTCGTTCTCTCTCGTACTCTCTCTTGCTCTCTCTCGCTCTCTCTTGCTCTCTCTCTGTCTTGCTCTCTCTCTTGCTCTCTCCCGCTGTCTCTCTCTCTCTCTCTCTCTCTCTCTCTCTCTCTCTCTCTCTCTCTCTCTCTCTCTCTCTCTGGTTATCGGTGCACGCGCCGATCGCTCTAGAATAATAATAGTGAAAACTATTAATACATAGGCAGCTGATAATTAAAAAATTTGCTTCTAAATTTCATTTTACTTCTACGGTCACCATAAAAGCGGGCCGCAAGGCTCGAACAATCGAATCTCCTCTTTCCAAATTTTCCCGTTTTTGTATACAATCAGAGCGACAATTAGAGAGAATTCTCGGAAAAGAACGTCGCGGTGGCGGCGAACGGAGGGCCGAAACGGGAAAAGTAGCAATCGGCCGTGTGTTTCACTTTGATAGCCGGCAAGGGTGCCCCGTTGATAATGCCATTTTCGGCGAAAGTTAAATTTCGTTGATGGATCGGCGAATCGGGGTGACGCAGACTGGCGAAACCATCGGTTCTCGGGAGACGACGCGCATCGGAAGCTGAAATTGACGGCATAAAGTTCGCGTTTACTGGCTATGTCCGTGTGGGTGTCCACACACACATACAGAGTGAGAGAGAGAGAGAGAGAGAGAGAGAGAGAGAGAGAGAGAGAGAGCGCGCGCGAGAGAGCAAGAGAGAGAGAGCGCGCGCGAGAGAGAGAGAGCAAGACCGATCGCATATCGTAGAGGGCGGCACGGTGTGACGTCACGCCGCTACGACTACGCGTTTAACGAGGCGACGGTGACGTTACTCTCATAAACCTCGAAGCTCGCCCGCCCGTCCGCCCGCTCGTCCGGCTGCCCGCCCGGCTAACACGGAAATTCCGAACTCCTTTCGAAGTCTTTAATCCGCTTCGCGAACGGAGCCACGGATGGGAAAAAGTTTCATCGATCCTCGCGTTCACGGATTTATTCGACTCGTTTGATCGAACGGTTTGACCCTTCCTAGACACCAAGTTCAATAGGGTATCATCGAATTTAAATTCCACTCCTCCGTACCGTGAAGTTTACAACCGCGAGACTACTTATTCACTTGCGTAGCAGTGATTTATGCTTCGTTTTTTTTTGGGGGGGGGGGGACGCTTTCTACACGGTGTCCAAAAAATGAACGTACACCCTCGGTGAATAAATATTTTTTTAAATTATAACATTACAATCTCTGATCCTCCTGGTCGGTGAATACATTTATTTACTAACTAATTATAAATTATCGAAGATCCTTTTATGTACAGTGGCCCGCAAAAGTGATCGTACACCTTTCGGAACGCAATAACTTTTTGAAAACTCGACTAAACGATCTTGAATTGTTTTTAGATGACGGAGGGCAATTACTAAAATGCTTTTTGTTTAAATTTTGTTATACCAAAAAATATTTATAAATTATCGAAGATTCTTTTATGTATAGTATGCTGCAAAAGTGATCGTACACCTTTCGCAACGCAATAACTTTTCAAAAACTCAACCAAACGATCTTGAATTGTTTTTAAATGACGCGGGGCAATTACTAAAATGCATTTTCTTAAATTTCGCTGTTACTCGAAATGACGAAAAGGAACATTTAAAAAAACCTTTCGTTAAATCATAATTACATACAGTTACACATAAGTCACAAATAATTTGATCCTACTTCCATCTTCATCTCTCCACCCTGTACACGCGATTAATAATTGATTTAATCGATTTAGCATTTATTTAACAATGAAACGTTAACCGAGCAATAAATACGGAACACGAAATATGCGAAACGGCGCGATACAGGTGACTCACGTTGAAATCTACTTGGTTCTAATACAATGGGGTTGTTTAGTGGCACCTGTGCCGCGCGTTCGGCGAGGCTCTCGTGTGCGAGCGCGCTCGCAGCGCGAAAGGTTAGGTTAGGTCTCTCTCCTCCTGTTTTACTCGCAGTCAGATTTATCTAGAGCGGTGTAACGAGAGGGGTGGGGAGGAGGCACGGGGTCGTCCGACGGCCAATCGTTTCGGGGGAAACTTCATGTATCCGTTCATCTATCCGTCCGTCGGCATTACGCGCGGAATTCTTCATCGGAACGCGCGGCGGGCTACGTTCGGCCGAGGCGCAAACATTCGGGATTGTTTTCCCGCTGTCGGAGCGATATATAATACAGGAGGATCGTTTTCGACGAGCGAGCATTCCTTACCAACGTCCTCGAGAGTTAGTCACCTCGAGCATCCTTAATTCGATTACTCGTCGATCCTGCGAACACTCGGTGCCTCGGTTGGTCGTCTTCGACGCTACTTCCTATCCCCACTCCTCCAGCCGTCGCCGCCGCCGCCGCTTTCCCGCGCCGCCTATCAAACCCTCCCGTAACTGGCTTTCTATGTACCAAATCGAACGGCGTCATCAATTTCGTGTAAGTACACCGAGGGAGGCATTTCGACACCGCTGATTCCACAATAAAGCTCTTTGTTTTCGGCCGCCGCCGCCGCCGCCGCCGCCGCGCCGTTGCACGCCGGTCGCCGGTAATGATTATCAGAAAACTGGAGCGGGTAGTGTGTCGTTGCTCATTATCCCCGACATAGGTTGAACGCCACCGCCGTCGTTTAATGAGATCTAGTCAAGTTCTGGCAGGACTTTGAACGACGAGGCTTCGACAAATGCGCGCGAATATCGCAAATTGAGAACAGCAGAAAGTTTAGCGGCCGTCGACGGAGCGTACTATATTTTACTTGCCGGAGAATTTACCTGCTTTTCGCGAGTTAGTTGAGACTCGGTAGTGGTTCTTGTATAAATATGTAACGTGTATAGCTCTTTTTTTTTATATTTAAGGATTTTGGTGATCGCAGCGATTTTAATGATTCCAGTGAAACACTTTTGTCAAAGCTTTTGTTAATATCCAATCGCGCAATGTGTAATAGCCAGAGTACGAATTGTAACATAATTAGATCGCATTTTTAATGGATCACTTTATATTTGTATATTTTTGTTCAAACGTCCCCCCTCCCCTCTCTGTTTTAATAATTATTTACGCTTCTACGATGTTCGAGTTTCGTATTAATGTGATAACCCTTTGCTCTACGATTTAATTTCCAATAACTTTCCATTTCTCTCTTCACGTCTCTCAGACGTGATAATCGTTTCTGATCCGATTTTTTTATCACGTCTGCCAGACGTGATAATCGTTCCTGGCCCAATTTTTTGAACACGTCTCTTAGACGTGATTGTCACTTCTGGCCCAATTTTGACATTACGTCTCTCAGACGTGACAATTATTTCTGGCCCGATATTTTCACCACGTCTCACAGACGTGATAATCGTTTCTGGCCTGATTTTGTTACCACGTCTCTCAGACGTGATAATCATTTCTGACCCGATTTTGATACCACGTCTCTCAGACGTGATTTTAGGGCAAAAGATCCCTTCTTACTCGGCGATTAACTCCGAATAATCAGTTATTCAGTTGTTAATAAAAAAAGTACAGCCAGATATATCATCGAAAAAGAATTGCCGAAAGAAGCGAGCAACTCTCTGCCGGAGTTCAATTATCGTAAATCGAGGCCACGCGCGTCTCCTAGCCCGCGTCTCTTAATCGACGAATGCCTAAGTATCGCTCTATCGAGCGGCCGAAGAAACGTATTTAAACCTCGTTAAATGTTATTTGACGGACCCGTCGGACCACCGCATAAAGGGGAACGCCGTTACACAGGTTCCGAGAGGACGCGAAAATCTTTGAACCCGTCCGAGTTTCCAATAACCTGTGCCCGCGGTTAAAACTCGACCGATCAAAGGATATAGGTGTAACCGCGCGTATCAGCGGACGTAATTGCGCGTCCGCGCAAGTTCAGCGTTCTCCAGTCGACCAACGAGGTAAATTGTAACGTCGTCGGGGCAAATAAGGATGGTTAACGGCGATCGGGGACCGCGAGCGATCCGATGGGCATTTCCGTCTCCCTCTCCCCCTCTCTCTCTCGTTCTTTCTCTCTCGCTCCCTCTCACTCTCTTCCTTGCTCTCTCGCTTTCTCTCTCTCGCTCTCTTACTCTCTCTCTCTCTTGATCTCTCGCTCTCTCTCTCTTAATCTCTCTCTTGATCTCTTGCTCTGTCACTCTCTCTCTCTCTCTCGCTCTCTTGATCTCTCTCTCTCGCTCTCTCTCTCTCTCTCTTGATCTCTCGCTCTCTCTCTTGATCTCTCGCTCTCTCTTGCTCTCTCTCGTTTTCCCTCGCTCTCTCTCTTGCTCTCTCTCGCTCTCCCTCGTTCTCTCTCTCTTAATCTCTCCCTCGCTCTCTCTCTTGATCTCTCATTTTCTCTCTCTTGATCTCTCGCTCTCTCTCTTACTCTCTGTCACTCTCACTTTCTCTCTCTCTCTCTCTCTCCCTATCTCTCTTTCGTTCTTTCTCTCTTTCTTTTTCTTTCTTCCTCTCTTTCTCCCGCTCTCTCCGGTGAAGNACTCGACCGATCAAAGGATATAGGTGTAACCGCGCGTATCAGCGGACGTAATTGCGCGTCCGCGCAAGTTCAGCGTTCTCCAGTCGACCAACGAGGTAAATTGTAACGTCGTCGGGGCAAATAAGGATGGTTAACGGCGATCGGGGACCGCGAGCGATCCGATGGGCATTTCCGTCTCCCTCTCCCCCTCTCTCTCTCGTTCTTTCTCTCTCGCTCCCTCTCACTCTCTTCCTTGCTCTCTCGCTTTCTCTCTCTCGCTCTCTTACTCTCTCTCTCTCTTGATCTCTCGCTCTCTCTCTCTTAATCTCTCTCTTGATCTCTTGCTCTGTCACTCTCTCTCTCTCTCTCGCTCTCTTGATCTCTCTCTCTCGCTCTCTTGATCTCTCTCTCTCGCTCTC